TAATATTGGGATATTGCATGCATTTGTAATTGAGAAATAATATAAATTCATCGTTAATTCTTATATTTCGATATAAGAGATATAGTGATTTATTTTTCTAAAAAGAAAAAAAAGGTAAAAAAGGACGAACGAACGATTTTCGCATAGCCATATAGAATATTCAGAATGCGTGCAAAATTTGGGAGTGGTTCGAGTGGTGCACTGTTAACAGAGAGGGTTTGTAAGAAAGGGGAATTGTAAACGTTCTCTTTCGTACATCAGAAGAGCCAGTCCGGTTTCCGGTACACGCAAAACTCTCATTAACTTTAGTCGCATGTTGCACGTTTTCTTTTCGAGTTGTTCCACTTCTCGCTACGCCAACATTACCATACTCGGATGTTACACCGATATTGCATTAAGATTCGATCAATTTTCATTTAACTATATCTTCAAATTTTAATCTGGATATAACTGAATCAAAACTATTAATTGTAAGACATTATATGCCTATAAATATTAGAAATGATAACTGACATAATCCGATGATTATTAAAACGAATAATCAAAATGTGAACGCAAGCGTTTAGATTAAGGAAAGAAAAAAAAAATCCATCGATTATTTTCTATTTTCTATATCTTTTTTTGTTGTTTTTTTTTTTTCTTTTCTTTTTATTTTTTCTTAAAATACTTATTATCACTTATGATATTAGAGTGTCCCAAAAATATCGAATGTGATATAAATCCAATACATTTAATAAAAATAAAACTAAATGAATAATTATTTTCTTTTAATGTATCGTATCCCGACAAAAGAAAGCAAATTCTTCGTAACAGAACATTTCATAGGAATACACAAATCGGCAGTTTGTACGAGCGTGCCAGGAGTCCAAGTAACAAACCGGGCAATGCATCGTTAGCTCAAATAGCCTGGCAGATAAATGACGTGGTCGCTTCGCATCTGACGTGAATGAAGTCAGGATGGCTTTACCTAGGCGGATATACAAGGATAGAAGCAAATATACGCCTATCCACATAGACCTCGACGACGAGAGCAATCGAGTCTCTTGCTATCCGAGTGATCCCAATAACCGGCTAATGATACTTTCAATGCCATCCGATAAACACACTTTCATCGGACGAACCAACTAAGAAACGTTCCTTTCGTATTTCCAGTGGTATTCAAACCATTTTTATATTATGAAATTCATTTGGAAAGAAATTTTTATGTTAAACGATTTATTTCTTCAAAAAAAAAAAAAAGAAAAAAAAAAAAAAAAAAAAAAAACAAATAAAAAAAGAAAAAGAAAAAAATTTAAGAAAAATATATTACGAATGAAGAGATGGAAAAAGAATTATTTTTATTCATCATCATTTTACGTATAGGTAATAATTAATATTTCATAAAATTTATAAATTAGAAACTCTATGAAGTGTCTTCTTCAAAAATTTATTACCGACATTAAAATATTACATTCAGATAGTCAAACAAGATTTACCGAAGTTGTGAAAGCTTGAAGATCACTGGTCGTCTGGAACGAAGCCGTTCACGTTGGACGTTTATCACGAAGGGAAGGAAACGTCGCCTGAGAAACGTCCTATGGACGAGTATTTAATGTTCCCAATGCGTATTAATTAAGATAATTCAGATTAATATTAATTGCGATACGATGAATGTGTAGGCATCGTTTGAAAATGTTAGCTGTTACCTGAGTTAAGTTTTAATGCACTTTGAGATCAGATATTTGATGTTCGTGTTTGTATGTTATTTGAAAAATTAACAATGAAAATCGCCTTGCATTTTAAAATACTCGGTATATCATCTTCTTATCATCTCGGTATACACACATACACACACACACACACACACACACACACACACACACACACACACACACACATATATATATATATATATATATAAATTAAATAGATATACATGAAACACGAAAGAAAGAAATTTTTATATTTAAAAAGGAATATATAAAATACCATTAAATTAGACATGTACAATACTATTTCGACAATCTAATTTACATGAATATACAATATTTTATTTACTAGTATGTACATATGTAATCAGTCACATTATAATTTATTAAAGATTGCAATGCACCAACTAGATATTTATTAATTAAAATGATGACGATTAATTACATATTGACATTAAAAATATATATCTAAATAATACATCATGTTCCATCATTATATACTCTTCAATAATTTCGTCATTGGTCGTAAATAAATTATTACAACATATATATATATATATATATATATATATGTATGTACATTTACTAATCATTTTATTGTTTGTCTCTAAAAGAGATGACAGCTTGTCAAACGATCGAAAGAAAATGAGAATCATTGTGTCTTAAGATTTTAGATGAAGCAGACCGCATCTTGCTAAGGAAAAGATTTACCGATGTTCAACTCGAATGATATCGATCCTAGATTCGTTCCATGTAACGTGTTTACTTCTCACCAAAGATATCTTCTCTTTTTGCTCGGTCTAGCCGAGCACCCCTCGGTCCGTACTCAGCAGGGGTGGATCCACGATGGTACGCGGCATGCAGGATTGGTGGTGGCAAGGAGAGGAGGAGGCAGATCACGGAATAGAACGCTAGAAATCTCATTTATCATAGCCAGCCCTGTCAATCTTCAACGCATTGATAGTGCGATGGTCTACCGACGCCACCACCATCGTCGTTGCCTCTATCGTTCAATATATTTAAATTAATCTTAATACGATAAGCGTTCTTTTATTTTTTCAGAAGCAATAATATCGTTTCTTTCTTCTTAAAAATCTTTCATCTTTCATTCATTGCATATTCTTTTTTCTTTTTCTTTCCTTTTTTTTCTTTGGTTTTATTTTATTTTTTTTTCTTTTTCTTTTTTTTTTTTTTTTTTTATTTCAATTTATATCTCATATCTATCATTCCGAATAGTAAAATAGAAATAAATAAAAAACAGGAATGGGAGAATATAATAAATATAGGATTATAATAAAAAAGAAGAATATAATACGTACTTATACACATAGATATATTCGATATATTGTATTGTAAAGTCACGTACATATATTTGTATGTACGTATATATATATATATATATATATATATATATATATATATATATATATCTATATATATATACAGTGATTTAACTAACAGAAAGAAGGTCATTAGTGAAACTCAATTGCCTTTCAAAATTTATTAGTATAATCTTAATCTTAATCTTAATCTTAATCTTAATCTTAAGTATATTTATCGCATACTTAAACTTTTCCTTAGTGTTATTAGATTTTAAAATTCGATAATTAGAAATATTATGAGATTTGCAAATTGAAAATGTGATGTGAAGGACGTACGAAAATCTTAAAGAGAATCATTTCAACAAGCTAATACTTAAGTCGAGATTTTTCCAATAATATAAATCCCTCGAGAATATGAAGAAACTGAATAAGAATAAAAGGAGGAGGATACGAAACGATAGTTAAAGAATCAGAAGCTGATTAATTTTCCACAATATTTATCCTTTGGGATATGAACTCTTTTGAAACATTCCCTGAAGGGACTAAAGTCGTATAAATATACGCATCGAAGGTGTGCACAACCTTGTTGAATTCTTTCTATCTACCTACCTACCTACCTACCTACCTACCTATCTACCTACCTACCTACCTAACTGTAGTATATCAAGATTATCCTCATCTCCAGTCTTCAGCTAAGAATTTCTTTGCACAACAATATAATCTGTCAACACCATCTGACAAATATATTTATCTCTTCCTTTCTCGTTATTGGCATTTTTTCAATCGATATATAAACTTTTGTTCATATCAAATATAAATCGTTACAACCAATTGCAATTATAATTAATTTATAATAATATAATCATGAAATGATATTGTCTATTGTGATAATATGTTACATATTTTTATATAAAGGGATATACGTCATTTTTCATATTCTCATTAGCGATTGAAATTAATTTTTATTCGTAATAATCGTCGAGAAAAATCTTGTAGAGAGTTTTTTCGATCGTTGAAAAATGAAACAAGAGCAATGCTGTATCGAGGATGCGTCAAAGAACATGAATTTCTTTTTTGTCTTGTTACTTCGCTACCTTTAAGAGAAGATCGAGCTACCCTTAAACGATTGCTCAGCAGTTTTTCCGCCACGCCCAGAACCGCCCGCTCACTCCTTCCATATATTTCTGCCATTAGCACCAAACCTGCGGATTAACGGTGTCAATTTTGTAACAATTTGTTATCCGTTGTCGTGAGAAAAGAATCTTTTTTCTTTTCTTTTCTTTTTCTATTTTTTTTTATTTTTTTTCTTCTTCATTGCATAATTCTTTTCTATTGGATTTGTTACTTTTAAATATATCGGTTGTAAAAGAATTTTTCTGTCATTCTGCTTTTACAGGTGATACTGCGATCTATAAACGGCGAAAGATATGAATTTTAACACATTGCAGACGATTCATGAGAATTCTCGTGTTTTCTGTTCTAAAACTTTTGAACAATCACGAGAATTTTGATATATATATATATATATATATATATATATATATATATATATATTAGCTTGTAAGAATATGTAATAAATAACATCAAAATTATAATGGGCATTTAATTTTAAAGCGTGACTGTAAAATTTATATAAAAGCTTATTGTCCACTGGATTGGTCAGTAATAAAACTAAAGCTAGTAATAAAATTGATTCGCAATATGTTAAAAAGAAAATTACCGTGAAATTGATCTCATAAAATTTAAGGCAAAGTTTTTTTTTTTTTTTTTTTTAATAGGATATAATGTATTTTATAAAATGTATTTATTAAATGATGTAGAAATGTCTCTTTGGTTGAAAGAATATTTCTTATAATAGATATTACTGTACGTTCTAAAGACGTGATATTGTAACCTGAATGTAAACAATTAGGAAAGAAAACAAATACGATGACCTTCAGATACATATATATATATATAACTATGATCACAATATCACAATAATCATAGTAATTAGCTGCCTGTCGTCGAGTGAGTGAGTTTCGAAGATATACGAGAAGAGAAAGTTATAATTCCTATCGTTATAATTTATCTGAAATATTTCGTTCTATTAAATATTCTCTTAAATATTTCGTTTGAAAATTATTATACAATTCGTTTTTTTTTTTTTTCTAATCATTTACATTCGTGTAAAAATATCGCGCCTGTAAAAATACTTATTTAACGAAACGATGAAACTTCTATATCGGTTTTTTTTAAGAAAACGCTTTGATTGCCACACATGGTTCCTTTTTCATGAAACTTTTCATCCTTATGGTAAGTAGAATACATTAAAAAAGATTTAAATTTTTTTACTTAGATTATAAATTTCAAGGTCAAGCTCAATTTGACAGTTATCTTTTCTTTTTTTTTATTTTTTTATTTTTTTTTTTTTGTAACATATCTCCTACATTGCTCATAGATTATATAGAAGCTTTTCTCTTACATAAGCCGTAACACAAAATTAATGTATCTACACCGGATGCATAATTTAAAATGAAAAGCGATGCCAATAAATCTCTGGTGGGCGGTCAAAACGATATAAGTCAGAATTATTAATTTTTCGGAAAAATACTTATAATATTTAAAGTTTAATGTAAGATCAGATGTTAGATTTTAAACGCATAAATTGGTAATATATATTTCGTTACATTTGAATTACAAAGTATAAATAGATCTATAGTAATGTATTTAGTGCGATATGTGAGAGAACGTTATTGTGTATTAATTTTGAAGGACGAATTCGAAAGTTATCTAAACATTGCGTTACGTGAGGAAATTCGTATGATTGGCTACGACGAGAGAATAAAAAAAAAAAGTGAGAAAGCAAATGTTGACTAAACGAAAGGAATGCTAGGTTAATAAAAACGATTAGAAAAAAATGAAAGATGTGTTAGAGAAAACTTTAGCATTTCGCTAAATCTAATCCTAACATCACGTACATCATATTCCATTTAGAAATGTTTTTCTTTGTTTGAAAATGATGACTTATATTATTTTGACTTGAACTATTAGAATCATTAGAAATGAAGGTTAAGCTTTATTAATCTGTTAGTAAACAAATTATATATATATATATATATATATATATATATATATTTGTGTGTATTTATAATAATATGTAATCTATAATAATAAACATAATACTATATATTATAAATTAATATATATATATATATAATAAAAAATATTATATTAAATAAACTTAAATATTATATTAACTTCAACGATAGATTAAAAAAAAAAAAAAAAAAAAATAAAATAAAAATAAAAAGAAACATTTGCTAACGTTTTATTTATAAGAAACAAAGGTATATGTATTAAAAATTAAATTATGATTCATTAGATGTTCACGCTAATACGCTAGTTCGGTGGATCGGAAAAAAAGATAAACTAAGTGTCGTGCGTCCTACCACGACAACGAAACAGGACATAGAATTAAGCAAACTACCTGGATGACACCTGGAATGACGTATTGCAGGAAAGTGAGCGGAGTTTATATTTTACGAGGTTGCCTCGTAAATAGCTTCGTAGCTTAACAACCGAACACCTCGAGGACAAGAGCCGCACGTTACCCCAAGCAGTGCCGTAACACGCGACACCCTCATGAACACCTTATACTATTCTCGAGTCATCTTTATCATCGCCAATATATTACTCTTTCATAGCAGGTAATATCAAAAAAAAAAAAAAAATAAAAAAAACTTATCTGTAAGTATGTTTTAAAAAGATATCATTACGATTTTTTCATACGTATATTTAAAAAAGAAAAAAAAAAGTGTATATATACTTAACTTGAAAGCAACAGGTCGAAAAACAAAATTTTTCTTTTTTTCCAGTCATGCCTGTTCACAATCTTTCGGTATATTCTTGAAGGGTCTTAAAACTTACTTTCTCTAAAGGTCCTAAGACATATTTATTAATATTTAATTTCATAGACCTTAATAATAAACAAAATATTATGGTCATATATTTGCTGTCAGTTGGGTGCTGTCATCAATAGAGGTACAAAGGAAAAGAGAAAAATTATTTAAAGTAAAATCGGGGATTTTACTTTTTCCAAATTTCTTCGTGTATGAAACTTTCAAAAATGTAGGATCATAAAACTTTCTCTTTGCGCATTTTGAACAGACATAAGATTTACGTTTGACTTACATGTAACATTGGAAATTTCCAACGGTCCCCAACGATTTCGACCGTAACGACCTTTTAAATTTTAAAAAGCATCTTGAAAGTTTGTTTCTATTTCTATACAATTCATTGTACAAGTAACACGTCAGCTTCTTAAAAGGTCACTGAAGGATAATCAGGTAACAAAAAGAGAAAGAAATAGAAAAAAAAAAAAGAAAGAAAGAAAGGAAAAGAAGAAAGAAAGGAAAATAGAAATGTACAAAGATTTAAAATTATTTTCTTGAAAATATTCTCTTGAAAATATTCTCTTGAAAATTATTTTCTTGAAAATATTTTCTTGAAAATTATTTTCTTGAAAATTATTTATTTAATATTTATATATGTACGCACAAAGTACGAGGATAAAAAAAATTGTGAAATTATTCGATAGTACGATTTGAATCACGCACATTGTATTTATCGTATACAATTCTTTCATATGTGACAAAATTCAAGCATGAAGCAATGAATTTGCTAATTACTTAAGGTTCACCCGAATTAAACGGAACGATTTTCCTCGAGACCGCTGAATAAAATTGGGGATCCATGTTCCGTGAAATGAATCATACGTTCAAAGGACGACATATGTGCCCCTGTTTCCTTTTCGTTCGCTGAAAAAGGCAATGGGGGAAACTTTGATACCCAAGAGGAGAAGGGGAGGGGGCGGTTCTCCAGCATCCATTTGGAAAAATTGGGAATATCGGGATCAAGCCAGACGGTTTGCTCGCTATTATTCTCAGATTGATTTATATTTTGTTTGTTCTGTACGGTACCACTACTGTTATAATACTGACTTTTCCGATCTATGGATCTATCTATTAGCGGAAAGACCGATAAAACGTTTGGTAAAAACTTTCAATCATTATATTGTTCGATTTGACAGTGTTCGATTTTATATAAGCTTTTTAAAATCCAATGTTGCAAACTCGAAAGGATAGATCATTAAACAAATCATATGGATACGTATTGAATCAAGGATTTTGTTGAATCTTCTCAAACAAAACGGGAGAATCTTAAGTAAAAATAAAAGTTAAATAAATATTTAAATGGATATGATTTGGGTATATAATATAGAACAGATTTCTTAAAATTTTAATAATTCATATTTATTTCCATTGATATTGTTAACATTCATATAAATTTATTTAGTTTTATAGAATATATTAACGTTTTACGTTTTCTTTATATATATATATATATATATATACATAATATATATATATATATATATATATATATAATATTTTATATATATATATTATCTTCACTCTCCATGATATACCTATATACAGTAAAAAGAAAAGAAAAATTATTTCTTGTGATTATTTCACTTAGATCAATGGAATAAGCTAACTATTATCCATCCATTGAAAATGAAGTTAGTATTCGGAATCATTTGCAATTCGCCCTCCACCCAAAGAACCCTCAACTTTTTCTACAAGTATCACCCTCACCGAATTATTATTTATTATTGTACGCTTTGGACGAGGTAGGACATCTTTTCACAGAGAAGCGTAGATATCTACATGCACGCGTACACACATACATACATATATATATATATATATATATATATATATATATATATATATATATACTCATGCAATAAGAAACTCGCTCGTTGCATCGTTTATGTGTCGATGTGTCTACGTCAGAGGACTCGCGTGTCCATCTCGATCGACCATTCGGAATCCCCGTAGTTTCGGTCACCACATGAGTGAACATTCAACGCATCATTAATCATTCCAGTTCAGTTAGATATAAAAATTTTCATGCCAATCTTTGAAAATGACATCGATGGGCTTCTTGTTCTTAAAAAAAAAAAAACAAAAAAACAAAAAAACAAAAAAACAAAAAAAATTATTAATGGCATAACTTCTTAAGTTGGATCATAAAAACACAACTTCTATATAAAATAATTATACATTTGTTAATATTTCTATATCTTATTAATATATATTGTCATCACGCAATGTCAAATTCGTATTGCAGAAAAAAAATTTTTTTTTTAATACCTAAGTAACACATCATTAACAACATCCGTCAGTAATATCATTAATAAAATACTATACTATCCGTCAGTAATATCATAAATAAGATACACATGTATCGTATTATTCAAATCGATCGTCTTTCTTTTTTTTTTCTTCATTTTTTTTTTTTATATAAAAAAAAAAATATAGATGACCATTCAAATTTATTTTCCCCACTCAATGATTATTGTTGTAACCACCCATTGAATTACTTCCGTCGTAGGTTCTTCTATCATAATAACAAAAATTATTGTAATTAGGATATTGTGGTTGTTGCTGTTGAAAATATTGCATATTAGGCATTGTATGGTTATTATTATAACCAAAATAAGAATTGTGTAAGTTGTGCTGCATTGGGACGGCAAAATGTTGTTGGTTGTATTGCTGATAATATTGTTGATTCTGTTGTTCGTATTGCGGAAATGTAAGTTGTTGCCCAGTTATGGGAATTATTCCTCTTGACGTAGATGGAACAGGATTTGATAGATTTGATACGCGATTTGTACACATCGAACTAACAGTTGATGAATTTGGCATTCGACTGGTACGCGATCGAGTATTAGTTGATGAACTTTGAGCGGTTGGAATATTATTTAATATCCTATTATTCGTTGGATTGATGACCACTTGACCCTCCTTCTTAGCTTTCATTCTTCTATTTTGATACCAAATTTTTATCTGTCGTTCGCTTAAACCTAACAAATCTGATATTTCCATACGACGTTTCCTACTCAAATACCGTGACGTATAAAATTCCTTTTCTAATTCTAATGTCTGGTAACGTGTATAGGTTTGCCTAGTTCGTTTGGTTTGTCCCTTAGCAACGTTTTCTGAAACAATAAAAGTTTGAACAAATGTAAATATCAGGTAGAAATTTTCTAGAAAAATATGATTACTTTAATAATATTTTTCTTTTGAACGAAACAGCTATTTTTTCACGAAAATCACAGATATGTTATGTGAGAAAAATCTTCAGGACATTGATATTTATCATGATTTTTTATACGATCATTATTGATTTCCTTATAAGACCCTTTCTTACCAGTTTCCGATGCTGAGTGATTGGAGATGTTTCGTTGGACCGTCATTGTCGAGTTGGATGCCGTCACCGGAGTAACATAATTACGTGGTCGCAATAAGGAGAGATTTGGTTCATATCCCATTATCACAGTATTTCCTGTAGATTCCAAGCAACCCTCTACTGATATCATATTCTCCATGCTTTCCGGCGAAATACTTTCTGTGCATGAATTTATATATCCATCCTGAACTGCATCCTTTCCATGACGCAAAATAGATTCTAAGAGACTCGTTGATTGATTGCTTGAATCTTGCTGTTCCATGTAACAATTTCCAGTCCCTTGATTCACTTGGTTATTAGTATTTTGCGGCATTTCATTGCCAATTCTTTGACATATTTCATTGCCTATCCTTTGAATAATTTGATTGCCAGTTCTTTGACATATTTCATTGCCTACCCTTTGAATGATTGGATTGCCAGATCTTTGGTATATTTCATTACTTGCCATTTGACTGATTTCGTTGCCAATTCTTTGATTGACTTCATTGCAAGATATTAGATTCATTTCATTGCCAATCTGTCTCTCTGGATAAGAGCAGTAGTTAACTCCCATGTTATAGTGATAAGATGGATTGCTCATTTTAATTATGCGATGTAGAAACACTTCACTTTTTAACTTTTAGCTCGCACTTAACTATTTCTTCTTCCACTTAATATGTATTTTATCACCGATTGCACACTTGAGAAACTGTTCTAATGTTTGTAACTGTGTGCACTTCTATAAGAGAACTAAGAGAACGAAGTAAGCACTGAGACGTCTTACGATAGAATGAAGCGTTTTCCTAATTCTCGTGACAAAATAGAGATATACCAAGAGTGTTGTCCATCCACTGTACATGGGCTTAATGCATTTCAAAAGGGACAACCCAGGAAACTTTCACTGGTTTATTACTGTACACGAAAGTACAGCCCAAAGAACTTTGCTCAGTACGGTATGAAAGGAAAATGAGAAAGTGGAGAGGGAAGTTGGCCTACCCAGGCTACAAAATTTGGACCCCCTAGCACACCTCCTGTATACGCCGAGGGAGGCCATAGGCCCCCCTTTCTATCAGCTGCCCTTTGATTCACTACCAAGCCAAACCACCCCCGACACGTTCGCTTCTTCGATATTCGACTCCTGCTAAGTCCCCTCCCACTATTAACGCTATTGATACAAAATTCACATTGAATACTCCCCGCAAAAACGTTCCATCCTTGTTCAATGCTCGTACAATTGACATCCCACCATGTGTGCAACCCCTCTACGAATCATCACGATAGCGAGATTTAGAATATGTTCTGAAAATTCTTCTCACGCGATATATCTGTAATTTTCGAGAAAATTTGTGAAAAATTGTTCTGTAATCGTTCGTTGAATTTCTCTCTTGTCTTCCTAAATATATGAATAGGATTTCACATTTATTTTGAGAAATAGAAATATCTCTGTGTATATCTTGAAATATATGATTAACGTGCTTCAAATATATTTTCGTTTGATTTCTTCTATTGAATATCATTAGAATAAGCAATCCGTTGAATCACTTTAACATAAAGACAAATTACTAGCCATAATAAAATGGTGTATCAAAATTTTAATTAAAAAAAATATATATATACATATATATACATATATATATATATATATATATATATATATATTTATATCTATTAAATAAATTTGCAAATTATTATTAAAAAATAAACATCCATTTTATAAATATTTAAAATCGATTGAATCATTTGATCGTTTATTCGATAGCTCGTCTTTCCTTACTTCTTTCTTTTTTTTTTTTTTGTTTTCTAATAAAAAGGAAAGACGATGGAATAAAGATTTGAAGTAAGTGGGCAAGATAAACACAATGCGTGGCAAAGGCTAGACGAAGGCAGTCTTGCGAGTGACGTCTTTCTCTAGAAACTCTGACCGGCGTCGATTAATCAAAGCTGCAGAACCCTCTCTTTCTCTTCTCGGTCATATATACACGTGCATTTAGTGCGGTCCTCCTCACAGCCCTCCTCGTACTCTCTATTTTCATTAATCCTACTTTCGTTTCGACGCATCGTCGGCGAAAGAAAAATAAGGGCTAGAGAAAAGGGACGAATTAAGGAGAGTGGATCGTCTTTTCATGGATAAGTGGGAAGAAATAGATCGACAATTTTTACATATAAAATTTTCGATGATTTTTGATACCTTTTTTTTTTTTAAATATTTCTTATTAGACAAATTAATTAGACGGTAACTCATATTAAATATAATACAATATCAATAATTAAATGGATATTAATTATGAAAAGAAATCTGACTAAATTTGTTAAATATCTTTGAAACTTTGTCTCTGACATCATATGAAATAATGCTTATTCCTTTAGACTTTAAATCGATGAGAAAACATTTACGCAATATCTTGAAATACTGATTAACGTGATTCAAATATACTTTCGTTTAATCTTTTCTAATAAATACCATTAAAATGACCAATCGCCAGTGTTATTTAAAGCCAGTTTTTTGTAAACTCTATTGCGTCATGGAAGTCATTGTACTATATATATATATATTGGATGAATGGATTTTTTTCACACTTGGATACTCTGTTCGTAACTTAGTACAGTAATGCAATTCCTACCAACGTAACGATATTGTTTGTAAATAGGAAAATGATGCCCAACAAATAAATCCATTCAACCAAATCTCATTATCTCTAAAATGTACACGTACTTTAGGAAATTTCATAAACATGAAATTTCCAATTGTCATTTTCCATTATTGACTTGCTTTTGCACGGGGAATTAACAAACAAGCGATAAGTAAGACACGACGAACCTATCATCAACTGGAAATGATTATCGATTATAAAAATGAAGATAATAAATGGTATTTCGGATAAATTATAAAGAAACAAAGCAATGCTAAACAAATGGAAATTATACAGTTCAAGGAATTATCTTCCAAGGTTACCTTTCACAGGAAAGTTTCGATAATATGTCATCTATAGATGAATACTTACAATTTCAAGGTTCTTATACCTACAACTTCAAGAAACTAATTCCAATTGGACATACCAGTTCGACATGAATAATATACAAACAGATGTGTACCTTCAAACTTATTTGTTCAATGGTACAGATGTACACTATCGACAACTTCTAAAATAAATCCAACGACATAATAGCTCAGCATCGATGAGTTTGATAAGAAGTGGTCTTGTAATGAAATCAATGATCGTACGGAATGTCATACTAAGCATCATTGTCCTGATTATTCATAAGTGAGATCTAATAATTCTAACAGTTAGGTTAGTATCAAATTCATTTAAAAACTTATATTATTTAAATTATATCTATATTTAAATTGTCGTGAAACAAAATAATATTGTATTTTTATTGAATAAAACTTTTATTCTTTCAGGGTCGTGATAAGAGAACAGAAAAAAAAACTTACAAGCCAAAAATATACATTTCCAAACTTGAATTGAAAGAAGTATTTTATTCGTTATGCTTTGATTAAAAAATATCGTATAGAAATAAAAAATATTTTATCTTCAAACGCAGTTCTTGTATTGATGTCAGAATTGAGAAGTCAAAGATTAAAAGGATGACCAAGCCGCCACCAGAATACATGAAATATAGAATATTGAACATTGGTGTTTCATCCATTGAAAATTCATTATCTGTTAATTCAATAACTATCTTTGCATCTATTTGATCTACCTCAACGACTATGATGATAATAAACGACTAACAATTTACATTGCTGCAGTAACATCATTAACACTTGATCAATCTAATGCAGTCTTTACAATGCTAATTATCTTCATTATCATAATAAACTGCAATATGTCTAGCCGCAACAATATCAATATAATCATTACATAGGTATTCATCAATATAATCGATAAAATTATGGCAAAAGTAGTTTCTTGATTTATTACTAATGATTAAACGAAGAAAATGAATTTCGGTGGGTGTTACTTTCTCGTAATGCAAAAATGATTTCAATAATATGATAAAAATCTTATTACTGAAGAACGGGAAGGAGTTTTAAATAAATCGATAAGGACGTTTAAATATTAAGAAAAAGAAATATTTTTTTTTTCTACATTTGCTGTAATTAATTAATCAGAATATTATGACATATGCAAATGACTAATACTTGCAGAAAAAATAATAAAAATAAAAAATTTTTGTCATTTTTCTTTTTAGAGAATAAGAAGGAGGAAATCTATGAAGTGTTCGAAAATTGGCATAAAAATTTTTTCTATGTAACTGGACTTCAACACCGAACGCATCGTGAAGAGAAAACTTGCTATGGCGGCAACATCGGAGCAGCTGACCTGCAACCACCATGATTTATGGCCGAACGAGCTAAACAGCCGAGTAGTATCCTATAGCTCTCAGGTACCCGAAAGCTCGGCCGTTCACGCTGCATTTTGCCGGTATATTCTCTCGGCCTTTGCTCTTCCTTCAGCTTCACGTTTCAAAACTCGATTTCGTTTGCGAGTACTGCATACGTCATTCTGAAAATATTTTGACGCGACAACGAAAATTCATACCTCGGCTGATTAATGAACAAGATTCGCTGCCTATGAACTTTCTGATAATTTCTAAATTTTTCGGCCTCTTTTTTTCTTTCGATCAAATCGAACTTTACAGAAATTTGATTTTAACGTTCCTCGTATATCGGTCCATCGGTTGATTTATATATCGAACAATTTTTTTAGGTCAAATGTTAGAATAATTTATTCGATTCGTTGATAAAATCAAATATCGATTTGATCGATTCAATTAATTGTAAATTCAGTTTTAAGAAATAAATTGTTTCAAAATAATCTTAAAACTGGTTTTTCTTTTAATTTTTTTTTTTTTTTTTTTCTACATTACAACAGATTTGGCAAGATTGTACTTTAAAATATATTAGAATCTAAGTTGTAATATTTTTTCATAAGAGGATAGAAATTATGAATAATTGAAGTTCTTGTAATTATGATCGTCGGTTATAGATCAAAGACGATGACGTAACTATAACGACAAAGAAAGAAATAGTCAAAAGTGAGGGGAAGGAAGAGTGGCTGCGCAGCTGCGCTCTTCGCACATAACAAGATGGCCGAAAGCGTGGTTCGCGCGTGCACGAGCGTTCATCCTTCGTTCTTCTTTTTTTTTAATTTTTTAGTGTATACATTGGTTAAAAATTGTTTATTAAACTTACTATGATTTAATTTGTATATATCAATTATATTAAAGTGAGTGGATCCATGGTTCAAAGTGTTGTGCGCATTGTAAAATCGATACACATCAAATTTAATTGTTGTCTCTTAAATTTATCTAAAAAAAATATTTTGATGATCATGTATGCGATCGTCTAGTTATATTATAAAAAAAAAAAAAATCCTACTAAAGTGAAGGAAAACTTTGCACGTGCAATGAGTGTACAAAATGACAATGTTGTAATTGTTTTCGAAAAGTATATTTATTATTTAAAAAGATTTTCATATTAATTCTTTTTATATCTTATATAACCGACAATATCTAATTATCTTCTTTTCCTTTAAATAATTTTTATATCTCACTTTTATGTATGATTTAACTGATACTTGTTAAATATTCAAA